ATGTATAAAATATCGTCCACGTAAATTAATACAAATTCAATATGATCATTACTCTTTTTTACAAAGAAACAGTTATCAGCAGTGGTGGCGTTGAAATCCATGGTCTTAAGTACTTTTACCAAGCAATCGTACCATCTTTTGCCGGATTGCTTTAATCCGTACAGACTCTTATTTAATAACCAAATTTCGTTCTTATTAGTGTATTGACTGTGTGGTGCTCTTACATATATTTCCTTATCTAATTTTGCATGTAAGTATGCGGTCTGTATGTCATATTGGAATACGTCCAGATTGAGTGCAGATGCTACTACAAGGGCTGTTTTGACACTCTCAGTTCTCACTGTGGGTGAATATGTATCAGTATAGTCTTCTGGATATTTTTGTGCATAGCCTTGTGCAACTAGTCTAGCCTTGTATAAGGTATTGCCTCCTTCTAAGTTCTTAATTTTATAAATCCACCTGGTACCTATAATTGTTTTATCCTTAGGTGCGATCGCAGGTGTGAATACATTTAATCCTTGTAAACTTTCCATCTCTTTTTCCATAGCTAGTTCCCATTTTTCTCTTTCTTCATGTGGAAGTTTCAATACTTCTTCATATGTATTAGGTGTTATTTGTTCTCCATTCATATGCATTATGTAATCTTTGTATTTATTTGGTATTTGGTTTCTATTGTTTCTAATAGTTCTTTCAGGCTTGCTATGGTTATCATGCAAATATCTAGCTTCCTTTTTTGTTAATGTGTCTGTCTTTATTTTATGCTGACTATTAGTCCAAGTTTTGGTTTTGTTCTTACTTTTGTTAATATTTTGATTTTCTGTTGTTCCTTCCTCGCAAGATATCGTATCTTTACATTTATTAGGAAATATTTCATTAAGGTGCAATTTTGACCAATTGGCCTGTTCATGGAACACAGCTGTTCTGGATACTATAAATTTGTTATTACTATCAATAAATCTGTACCCTTTGGTTCCAGTTTCGTATCCCATGAATCTTAATCTCCTGGATACGTTTTCTCCCTTTCTCCTCAATTGTTTAGGTATGTGTACGTCTGCAGTGACTCCAAATATGTGCATGTGTGATAATTTGGGTTTTCTATTGTACATCACCTCATATGGTGTCTTATTCACAATACTGGACCAGGTTCTATTTTGAGTGTAATTCGAATAATGTAATGCCTCTGACCAAAATTGTTTGCCTAAACCAGCATCCTCTAATGTGCACCTAATCATGGTTTGTAGTGTGGAATTTTTCCTCTCTGCAACTCCATTTTGAAATGCAGAAAAAGGATTGGACGTGAAATGTAACATTCCTCTATCCTTTAACCATTGGGAGAATTCTTTAGACATGAACTCACATCCCCTATCTGTCATAATTTGCTTTATTCTGATATTATGTTGTGTTTCTATACGTTTGTAGAATTCCTTAAATTTCTGAAATGTTTCATCCTTGTGCTTTAATGTGTAAACAAAACCATATCGGCTGTAGTCATCCACTATAGTTAGGAAGTAACGTTTTCTATAGGTAATTGAGGGACTTAATGGACCAACTAAGTCCATATGTACCAAATCAAAAATATTGTTAGTTGATCTGTTAGATTTTTTTGGTCTGGGACTGGTTTTTAGTTTGGTGGACTTACATACTGAGCATTCCAAATAATTTTCACAATTTTTATTTTGACACCTTCTGCGTGTTCAGTCATTTTTTGTACTACAGGAAAGCTTGCATGTCCTAACTTCCTGTGTAAGATGTGAGCACACTCATCATGAATTGGTTTACCTATTTTTGGTTTCTTTTCCTTGTATGTATTTTTGTGATCATGAGTTATTCTACACTCATCATTGTCACTGTTACTGACATTTTCATCATCTGCTTCAATACAATCTTCCATATTTGAATCAATGTTATGTAAACATCTTTCTTTAGTTATCAGATAGGGTAGACCTCCTTTTATCATTACAGTACCTACATTTGTTTTGTTCTTTTCTATAGTTGCTTTCCCCTTTGAGAAAACTATATTGATATCAGATTCTCTGCTTAATTTTATGGCACTTAGTATGTTGTGAGGTATTTCTGGGATTAATAATACCCCCTCTATTTTCCCTAGACCAGGCAAGGTCACATTTCCTTTGCCTAGTACTTGAACCTTTTCTTGATTAGCTACCTTTATCACAAACTTATCTTCTATAAATGAAGATAATATACTTTTGTTGTTGGTGGTGTGATTTGTTGCACCAGAATCAATAAGCCAATTGTTATTCTCATCCTGCTGTGTTCTGGTGCTGTCTTGTTTATTTAGCCCATTCAGTGACCCAGATTTCCTCTCTTTTGAATTTTCTCTACCCCCTCTACCTTCTTTGTAATTTGGTGGGCTTCTATATTTGTGTCTATCTGTGGAAGATTGTCTGTAATTATATTTGCTCCTATATTCTGGTCTATGTCTCTCTCTTGAGACTTTGGGGCAGTCTCTTCTACTATGTTCCCTGGATCCACAATTGTAGCATCTAAAGGCCTCATTATGTTTATCTTGAAAGACTACTTTCCTAAAAGGTTTGTGGTCTGTTTGGTTACTGGATCGATTTTTTCTTGAATTGTCTTCTGCTATCAATTTGTTAGATAGACTTTCTATGGATAAATATCCCAAATTAATGGTATCTAAGTGTGACATAAAGCTATCCCATGATGGATCAAGTGAATTGATAATAACACTTTTCATTGTTTGATCTGAAATCACTTCCCCCCTCAATTGTAGCTCAGCTCTTATTTTGTTTAGATTTATCAAATGCTCACTTATAGAAACCCCTGGTTTTACTCTAGAGGAAAAGAAATCCTTAGACATTCTTGTGGTTGTAGCTACGCTATCGCTGTGAAATAGATTAAACATGCATTGAATTATTTCTGATACAGTTAGGTTTGGTTTGATGCTATGATACATTGCAGGAGACACGCTAGATATTATTATGAAAAATGCTCTATGATGTAAACAATCTATTTTTAAAGTCCAAGGTCTTCTTGGAGGGCTAGTTATAAAGAATAGTAAATTTTCTTTCATGAAAATAACCTGAAGCTGTTGATACCACTCTTGTAAATTAATGCCATCAATTCTAAGTTTTGGGAAGTCACTGGGTAAGTTACCTACATTATTCTGTCCATTACTTACAACCTGGGGCAGTCCGTGATCTCTCAAGTGCAGGAAATTACAGAACGGCATTGGGATGCTTGCAATGAGTCTGCGCGGTTCTCTGGCCAGTTCAAGTCCTTCTGGGTCGTCTACGTAGTTTCGCACATGCGCGTTGCTCATTTCTTCTTTGGTGGCGTCGTGGAAGGTTCTCTCCCTTTCAGCTCTCTCGATCCGCTCCTCCTCAGATGAGTCGGTCTCTGGCTCGGTTTTTGGGGTTCTGGTGGTGGTGACGGTTCTTTTCTTCTTTTTGTGTGCGTTGGTATTCGATTTTGTCTGTGGTGTAGGGCGAAATCGGCATGGCTCTCTGGCTCGGGCGTCGTCGCTTTCGAAGTCAGGATGGGAGCGTGCAGGTCTTGAGTCGCCGGTTTGATTTCTTGCTTCTTCGTAGATGTCTTGGTAATTTTCAGTCTTGGCCCAAAAGCAGCAAAAAGCGTTTTCATTGCTGATTTTACTTGAGATTTTGTTAAATCGTCTTCACTTTCTGATTTTGGATCATCTGAAGAGTTTGAGACTTCTTTCTCACTTTCTTCGTCTGATAGTGTTTTTCGCGCCAGAAATTTTGAACTGAGCGTTTTGATTGGCTCTGCTCCATTCTCTTTTGAAGTTCGTTGAAACCAAGATGGCTGCCATTCAAAATTTCGCGCGGGATCACATCTTTTCTTTTTAACAACTATTTTCTCAGTAGTCATCTCACTTACGATTTTTTGATCTTTGGGTTTTTCTTTAATGACGTTTTTCTCTCTCGCTGCTCCGCTGTTCTTCAGCATCTCCTGGAGGTCCGCGATGAGACTTTCATCATTCTTTTGGCTTTTTAGTATCTTTAATATCTCTGACCTGAGTTCGTTATTTTCTATTTCGATTTCTTTCTGGTCATTATTTTCACTCATTAGTTCTTCTTCTTCAGTGGTGTATTCTTCGGATTCTCTCGAAATCGCATTGGTGGATTCGTTGATCATCTCTTGATCAGTTTCTATTTCTTTGCTGTAGGCCCTGGTGTTGGGCCTATCTTTCTTGGACATTTTTAATTACTTATTGAGTCAATTAACCATCCTCTGTTACCAGCTTGTTGCAATATTTTCAGGATCAGACTCAATAAAGATAATAGAAGTTAAAGCTTTAAATATATTTCTTTTTAATTATGATAGGCATTCTATATTCACTGAATATTCAAGGTAGAAGCGACGAGAATGGTGAGGGTGGCTCCTTATATATACAAGGGGTGGAGCTAGGAATGGGAGTGGTAAGTTATGAATACATTAAAGTCCAAAGAATAAGTTAACCTCTGATGTTCCATATATACATTATTTACACATTTGAGAATAAGGCATTTACATCTGACATAAACATCTTGATGGGTTGGAATATTGCCCTGCTAATCCAGACAGTAAATGGAACAGATTTCTGAAGTTTTGTTCCTTTCTAGAACTGAGGATCTGTAAAGTTGCCAGTTTCCTTTGTTTGTTTGTTCTTGTGGTTTGGTTGTGCTGCATTTCTCTCTCATTTTTAGGGGCTTCTGTTCTTCATTTTTATCGTTGTCAATGGATCTCAGTTCCTGAGATCTCAGATCTCAGTCAATTTTTGTAAGGACCTCAGAGTATCAGAACTGCAATGGAATGGTGAGGAAACAAGGAATACATTTTATAAATAAAACATTAATAAAAGCTAAGGCCTAAGAGCTGCCTCACAGCCAGGGAGCATCATGCATATACTACATTCATTCTTTATCATTCAAGATCCATCTAGCTCTCTCATGGATCTTATATCACTCTTCTGACCTTGCCATTTCCTTTCAGACCTACTCCAAGGATTTGATCAATACCTGCTGCTTCTTCTTTCTTCAGATGATGGATAGCTTTGGTAACTCTTCTTTAATCTGTATAGGTCTTCTATCATTTCCTTCATGGTGACCTTCAGATATGGATTCCTCATTGGCATGCTCTTGGAAAGTTCCTTTTTAAAGAATAGAAGCAAATGGTAGTTTATTTTTCATTTCTCTCTTTCAAAATGGCAACATTTACTCCACAGTGTTTTATGGACACTGCTTCTAAAATTGTACTGGACAGGTGTGTGTGTGTGTGTGTGTGTGTTTGTATGTGTGGTGTTTTAGGATGAATCCTTTTAAAGTTCTGTATTTCAGTTTTGGAGCTCAGCTATGCTTCCATATGATATTTTTAGTAGTGCTCCATATGGTGCATGGCCATAGTTAAATAAATGTTTGTGGAGTTTCTTAGTCATCCAAGTCATGGTTGTCCCAAAGGTGTTTTTTCAAAAGGCAACTGGACTTTCTTTGTTTTTCCTTGAGGATGTTTCACTTCTCATCCAAGAAGCTTCTTCAGTTTGTTAGAATTATGGATTAGAAGCAAAATCTCTTCAAGGAAAAACAAAGAAAGTCCAGTTGCCTTTTAAAAAAGCACCCTTGCGACACAGCTATAGTTGTTCTACAGCTAAGTGCTGGTAGCCCCAGTTCTATGGAAAATAATATTTTCTATGAACCCAAAGAAAGGCTATTTTAGGATGAGGAAATTTGAATGAAGGGGTGGTACATAAGGTCCTTCTTCATCTTCTAGACATCTTCACCTCCAATTTTGTACATACGATACAAAGACTTATCAGTTGTAAATTACACTCCCTTCTCCTATCCCAATGCACTATCCACTTCAGAGAACTATTTTATGAGGGTGAAGGGGAAAACACTTTTTTTCCCCTTGCTTGCCTACTTTATCATAATAATGATTGTATATTCACAGATAAACTCATTGTTTGTGGTCTGCATACTTTAGGCTTTGGGGTTTTTTTTCAAATATTTTTGTTCTCTAGATTTTGACATGTATTTCTGAGTACTGGAGACTTATATAGAATGAACATTGTGTCATCTAAGAACATTTGGAGGAAACATACTGATGATGATGTTATCCATTCAGTCATGTCCAACTCTTGGCAATTTAATGGGCCAGGTGTCTCCACCACTTCCAATCTTGCACTACTTCTTTGAGCTGTTCTTTGCTCTGGCAGGTACTGTATACCTACACTCTCAAAAGGCCAGAACTGTGTCATTAAAATAATTTTCTTCGTATAATTTGACCACTGTAGAGAAAAAAATCACGAATAAACAATACTAAGGCAAGAAAAAGACAATCACCTTAAAGGTTTCTTTAAATCTTTCAGGGTACCTAGAGATGTTGCTTAGTTGTAATAACAACCCCTGAAAGGCAGAGTGGGAATCCCTTTTTCTGCTGAAGCCTGCACTCCCTTGCCTTTTTTGCAAAGTCTGTGATCTTGGTTTTATTAAACTTAATCTGCAGAAAATAGCCCTTACAAGTCCTCATTGCTGTCTTTAACATCCTGGAGCTGCCACAGAACAGCCACATAATCTGCATATAACCGGATTGCTTAATTGCTATCCTAGGGGCATGAAGTTCTATTTTGCCTAAATAGACCACCACAGAATTGAAATCGGAGCATCTTAAAAGTGCTTCCCTGTGGCTGGATTATGACCCAGTTATTGAATGTGCTCTGAGCCTAGTTTATACGGTGGGTTCTGCTGTCTGCTGCAGATGGCGAGAATACCAAATGGAGAGAAAAAGCACAGTTGGGGGTGGGAATGTGTTTGACAGACTGGTTTAGAAAAAAGCATGTTTTAAAGTTCCATGTGGCATATCCGGTTGATTACCAGATAGTTTTATACAGGGGGGGAAATAACATGGAGAGAAAGAAACCTTAAATTTAGGAGCATAACTTTTATAAGAGAGGATTCTTGAGGCTGGTGGTTGCATGAAGGAAAATGCAGAGAAGCTTTATTGAGAAAATTACCTGATAATAGGAATGTCTGAATAAGCTAGGTCAGTCTACAGCAGGGGTCTGCAACCTTAAACACTCAAAGAGCCATTTGAATCCATTTCCCACAGAAAAGAAAACACCGGGAGCCACAAAACCCTTCCCATGCCTGACTATTTCTTGAGCAGCCACAAAACTAGCATATGTAGTTGAATTAAATGTTCTGTTTTCTTCTGAAACTTTTCTTTTCTTGGATTTATCCATGGTTGGCCTACTGGGGGTTGAAAAGCTCAATAAATCGCATGCCAGCGGGTATCGCACATTGGTGGTTGTGACACATATTTTGAGTGAAAGGGAGCCGCAGCAGAGGGGTGAAAGAGCCACATGCGGCTCCAGAGCCACAGGTTGCTGACCCCTGGTCTACAGGTTAGAAGTTATAGTATGTTCTCCTCCATTATGGAAAAACAGAGAGCCAAGGAAGGATCTGAACAGCAGAGGTTAGAGACAGCAGAGAAAGAGAACTGAACAAAGAGGGGAAGGAATGATGAAAGCACTAACAATATCAGTCTAACAAAAAAACCCCAAAAAGCAGAAATGTAGAGATATGCCAAATCTTTTAGACATGGAAAGGTTACAAAAATGCAAGCATATCTCTGCTAAGTCTCCATGGCCTCTAGTGGCCAGTAGTTTAGAGGTGCAGAAAATGGATGCATGCAAAGTAAAATTCAACTTACCCGTCTAATTAATTATGAGAATAGTGCTGATAGTTTTCTGACATTCATCCTAAAATCTAGTTGTTTCTCAAAGTCTCTCTCCCAGGAATGGTTTTGGCATTTCAAGTCATGTTGGGCTTATCCCCAGTAGATTTCACTCCTAAGAGCTAGGCAGCTTCTAACCATCATGAATGGCACAGCTGTTGATTGATTCCATATACACACAGCCTGTTTCACTATTCATACAGGAACACAGATGGATCTTTTATTCATAATAAAAATGATTCTCACAACTTCAGTTACAGAAAATCGTTACTAATATATCTCAAAATAATACATCAAGAGAAACAAAATCAAAATATATATCTTTCATCTTTTACAATGTCAGGAATACCCGGCAACAAACATCAATTCCACTCAAAACTATGGTACTGTATTACAAAAGACTAAAGCAGTAAAAAGGACCAAATCAATGATTTTGCAAGAAAGTCAATATTATGTTTAATATCAAATACTAATCTCAGACTGTGATCCAGCAAAACTATTGCTGTGCTCTTAATAGGGTGAACATAGAATTTGGATATTTAGGTTAATATCAGCGTGAAAGAAATCTTTTCTTTACAAATTATTGAAATATTAGTATTAGCAAGGAGCTAGGGTTTTGCTACATTTATTATAAATAAAATCAGTCTTTTGTTAGCTTATTTATCTTAACAAATACAAAGATATTCATGGATATTTCAAGAAAGGAAACTATTTACAACAAGCTCTGTAATGTCACAGTGCAAATTCCACCCCTTACATACTTACATGCATTTTCATGACCTACATATAAAAAGGGTAGAGTTTATGTTGCTATGTTATGATGCATTTGTTCATATGGAGACCTGTTAATATTCCATGACTATTAGTGAAATATTTGCAGTGAAATTCCAGACAGGTGATGAGGAAGCAAAAAACACATGAGACATTAGGGAGGGGAGTGTCTCTTACCTGTTTGAGTACAGGTAGTCCTTGATTTACAACCACAATTGAGCCTAACATTTCTGCTGCTAACCAAGACAGTTATGAAGCGAATTTTGCCTCATTTTATAATCTTTCTTACCACAGTTGTCAAGTGAATCCACTGTAGATGTTAAGTTAGTAACACAATTGTTAAATGAATCTGGCTTCCCTATTGACTTTGCTTGTCAGAAGGTCACAAATAGTGATCACATGACCCTGGGACACTGCGACCATCATAAATACATGCCAGGTGCCAAGTCTTCAAATTCTGATCATGTGACCATGGGGATGCTGCAGCGGTTGTAAGTGTGAAAAATGGTCAGAACTAGTCACTTCTTTTCAGTGCCGTTGTAACTTCGATCGGTCACTAAACAAATGATAGTAAGTCACGGATTACCTGTAGTCCAGGGGTGGGTTCTACTTACCTTTACTACCGGTTCATAATGGGGCCATGTGCGCACTCTTCTGGGTATGCGCAGAAGCTTCCACACATGTGCAGAAGCATTCTGATGACATCGGGGTCAGTGGGCAGAGCCTCCCACCGGTTTTACTACCGGTTCTATAGAACCGGTGCGAACCGGGGGCAACCCACCACTGCTGTAGTCCCAACTGTACATGAATTGCACTGGGTAAAATAATAATGAAGCAGCCAATCATCAGAATTGAGAGAATCCTTTACGAAAATAAAACATAGGTATGATTACTAGAACGTAAACAAAAATCAGTATATGTCATTAGGGCTGATTATGACAGTCATCAGCCTGCCATCCAAATCCAACTTTTTGGCAGGCAACTTGTGTATAACTCTTTACAGTACTTCCAAACCAAAAGACTAACAGAGTCTCTTTAAAGCAGTGTTTTTCAAACTCAGCAACTTTAAGCTGGGTGGACTTCAACTCCCAGAATTTGATTGGGAAATTCTGGGAGTTGAAGTTCACCCACCTTAAAGTTGTTGTGTTTGAAAAACTCTACTTTAAGCAAAGAGCTGCCTTGGGAAAGAAAGAAAGAAAGAAAGAAAGAAAGAAAGAAAGAAAGAAAGAAAGAAAGAAAGAAAGAAAGAAAGAAAGAAAGAAAGAAAGAAAGAAAGAAAGAAAGAAAGAAAGCGTGGAAGTTAGAAAATAGCTTTTTAATACTATTATTTAGGCATAGCAACCTAAATAATAGTATTAAAAAGCTATTTTCTAACTTCCAAGCTTCTTGCACCAGTGGTCTGATGAGAAGTGAAAAGAAACTGAGGTTACTATTAACTATTAGTGCATTTGAGAACTCTCTAGAGTAGGATGGCACCACTATTTAGGCCTCTTATGTGCAATCCAATATTCTGGGGTCTGTGAACATTTTCAGGCACAGCATGGTCTCAAGGCAAATACCATAAGTAAGGCTGAAGCAGAATGTTGCCTAATGACTATTAAACTACAACTTCCTTTTCTTCTCACCATTTTTGCCTTAATC